CATCTTTGCAGTCTACAGCTTTCTTGGCGCTTTCTTTCTGGCCAAGATCACAACATTTTAAATCCTCCTGCTGGGCTCCTTGCTTTTTATTCTCAACATAACTCTGGCTTCCTGGTTTTGATTTCAAGATTCTGTTTCCTTACTGGAAGGCACACACCCTTAGGGAGTTCTTTGTCCTTTAAGATGAGTTTTATGTTTTTGTCCTTATAGTATATTTTCACCCTTTTTTATCACATTAGCAACAACAGGGTCACAGTGTCTGTGGGATAAGATTTCACCAATTAAATTCCAATAAGAAAAGGCCGTAACTGGTGTTATAGGTAGCCAAATTAGATAAAAATATTAATAGGCAGTCAGACAAGGCAAGGCCTTTGAATGAGACAGCACAAAAGACAAGTTATCTTGTAACTATGGGAGGGAGGGATGCTCCTGCTGTGAGCCAGACCTAAAAGACCTAAAGGCCAAACAAATGCTAAAAGAGTAGCACCTGGGATTGATATTCTAAATAGGTATCAATCACCTAAAAAGACCCAAGTGAGTCACCAGCCCAGCCCCCATTTGGCCCTGGGCATAATCAACTTTACCTGAGCAATGTTTCTTGCAATCCAATTGGTTGACCATAGTTTTGTCCCACCTCTCCTAAGAGAGACACCTTTTTCTCTACGTTAACCCCTAATGGTTTTGCTCTATAAAAACAAACTGAAAGAGATAGCTTTCTGGGCAACCTGCTCGGGTCCCCCTTCTGTCCTCTCTGAGACAGAAGCTTTCCTTCCCAATAAAATATTCTACTCCTAATCTCCTTCTGTTCCCCAAATGCACTCCTCAGTTCTAGAGAACAGGAACTCCTATTTAGATCAGGTCGGGAGTTTTACTTCCCTGTATCACTAGAACCTTTTTAGGTACAAAAGTCTCATAATAATCCTTAATTTTAACCTTTACTCCTCACATCTTTAATGCTTTACTCACTTTCTACAAATTTCTCATTCACTTAGTGCCTGTCCCTTGCCGAAGGGAAGGGTAAAGAGGTGCCGTCCGCTTTTTCGAGGTTCAGACTGTTATGGGTCACTCAGAATAGGAACCAGATCAGCCAGGTTGGAATTTGGAAAGCCATTTATTACTGAGCTCAGGGCCCCCCAGTCTGCTCTCACGCAGGAGAGGACCAAAAGGTGGCAGCCCAGGAAGCAGAGAGGGTTTTAAACCTTGGAATCACATTGCGTTTGATAAGCAAATTTATTGTCTGACACAAAATAAAGCTTTTAGAGTGATTGGGACCAGGACTCAAACTACATTTCCTGGGGCTTTTGTTTAAGTTTCTGGTTAATTTGCACCTGAGTACCTGCAGGCAGCCTTGCATAGCCTGGAGGTTACAAGGAGTTAGAAGTCTTTGTTTCCTTTTAAAGTTATGTCTGTAATCTAACTTTGTTTAAAGGGATTGGTGAGTTTTATCTAGCAAACTACAGGTAACAGCCACTATTTACTAAACAATCTAAAAACAATGGGTGGGTATGCATTTACAACAGAAAGCACAAGATTTATACATATATAGCCTAAAATGTGAGTTAACCCATTACACAGACATCGCAGCAGGCAACTGTGGCGCAGGCCTCTTTTATTCTCTCTTTTGCCTCTTTCTCTCTTGCCGGCTCTCTTTTACTGGCTTTCTCTAATGTGCACTCTCTCAGACGGTTCCCTCGCTGTATCCTCCGTACCAGATGCCCCATTCGCTGGGCGCCACTTGTCCCGAACCAGTGGGTCAGTCAACAAAGGGCACCTGGAGGAGGAGCAGGGAATTGAAGAGGGGACAAAGGACAGGAGACACGAGAAATAGAGGCAAGACAAAGATTCTGATCAAGCCTCGTTTATTTAGGGGAGGTTCTGGGTATATATAGGGGTGATGGAATGAGGAAGTCTCAGCTCTTGGGGGGTCAGCAGGTATCTAGGCAACAGGGAGGGTGCAACCCCTAAGGCATAGCACGTGATTCACAGGACATGGGCAAGGTGAGAAGGGCCATAAACTTGACTCAGCAGGGGAATAGAATGGATACCAGTTAATGGCCTCCAACAGAAGTCCAAGATCTAAATACAGGATTATTTAACAAAAGTTGTTAAAGCTTTTTTAATTCATACAAGCATAATAGCCTCTAAAAATTTTTACAGTATAAAATATTAAAGTAGAAAAGTTAAAAATTATATGGAATTTCACTAAATAAAACAATATACATTTCATAATATTTGTTGTATCACATAGTGTTGTCTTTAAATTAGTTGTTCATATTACCAGATATATTCATGCAAAATGGGAAGAAATAAAGAAAAATAAGATATAACAAATTAAGATGAGAAAAAGGTAAAAGAATTGAAAAAAGGAGACAAAATAAATTAAGCACTAACTGTTCATAGACCAGCAGAAATCCACAGTACAGTTGTCCAAACCATTGTGCTTATATACATAGATATATCTCTTTTCCCCCACTCCCTCTCCTGTCCTTCTCAACTCAGTGATCGCTTCCTTTTGAACAGGTTCATTCCTTTTTCCCAATATCTATTGTGCCCTTCAGATTTTATTTTCTTTTTTAGGTTTTCACACTAAGCAGACAATATGATGTTTGTGCATGTGGGTCTGACTTATTTCACTTCAGAGTATGGTCTCTAGTTGTATCCATTTACTGATAAAAGTCTCAAATTTATCCTTTTTATAGCTAAATAGTACTTCGTTGAAAACATAATATCTTTGTATAGAAGCACATCTATCCATAATCATTATGCTTTAAGAGTCATGCTCTGTCAATAATGACAGGTTCTACAGTTTATGTAATTAGAATAGAAGCCAATGAATTTACATTCTCAACACAGATAATCAAACATCTCTTTTTGAAAGCTCAAATTCATACTGATTCTACTACTGATGACTAGAAAACTACTTTAACAGTAAATGTAGCTATTTCTTATAATTAATTTGCATGTTTTCCTCATGCAATTGGTAGATTTAATTATCAAATGGCATGTTAAATATCTCAAAAGAAAATAGCGAATGAAACTATTTCCAAATATTTCTCCTAAGAGTTCCCTTTCCTGCACAACTAGGTCAGTTTCACTTCCAAATACCTACGTCAGTGTGGGTTCTCTCTCTCTCTCTCTCTCTCTCTCTCTCTCTCTCTCTCTCTCTCTCTCTCTC